CACTTATTATTAGTGTAAAGGGGCAATTCCTACTGGCCATTGGTGTAAAGGGGGCACTTCCACTGACCACTGCAAAACAGGTTAATTTAACACTGGTACATAGGCAGCCACAGACCACCAATGCATATAAATAGGGTGCGATATAGGCCAATGGCCACCAGTGGTAAAATTGTCTATTATTAATGGTGCACGAAAAGACAGTTGTCTTTGATGGGCTCCATAAAATGTTTTTGTTTTTTTAATGGATCTGAATACTTTAAATGCATATTGACTTTGTCCTGTCTTTAAATAGTCATACAATTCATAGACAGACTTTTCCTGAATTACTGTATATGAAATGGGAAATTCTGAACACATCAGACTGTTGACCGAGGAAATATTCAGAAGCAGAAATTGTAAAAAAAAAATTGCTAATGTTCTGATTTGATAGTCACTAAAAGTAATTGAGTGACGTTTAACTTCTCCTTATTAAAAAAATATGCCATTGTAAAGCCAAACTAGTAATATACTGCAGGTTGTGAATAGAACTAGTGTTCTGTAGACAGAACTCTGCATGACCCGTACAATAATTGCTGCACAATAACAAATCTTTCTAGCGGAACTGAGCCGCCAGGGGTCACCAATGTCTTATATTGACCTGTGTTGCATGCCACTCAATTACTTTAGTGTATATAAATCAGGATATTAGCAATTTATTTTATCATTGCTTCACTGGGATATATTTCCATGGTCAACAGTCTGTTCTATTGAGAATTTCCCACAGGCTTGACTGCAGTCACAAAATCTTTTCTTGAATTAAATTCCTTGATAAACACAAATGATATAAATCCACTTTGTCTACACCAAATGCATTTGCAAACCCATCTAATACCCTATAGAAGTAGCAGCGACACCATCACTGTGCTGTACATAGCCTGTGCACAGAGCAGAGCTGTGGGAGTGGCTCAGAAGCTCCACCTACTACAGGAAACTACAGGAGGGGACAGAGACAAGCAGGGGCGTAACTAGAAACCACAGGGCCCTATAGCAACATTTTGTATGGGGCCCTGTGATTTCTAGTTACGCCCACCTGATAACCCAAACAGCCCACCTGAGAGTGACGCTGCAGAGCCCACCATTGACTCTCTATGGTGGGCTCTGCAGGGTCTCAGGTGGGCCGGTCAAACCCTCTTACCTGACAGCCCCGATCCTCTGTCCTCCTCCTCCTCCAGGGTCGCTAGTGGGCCAGCCTTCTCCTTCACGGGGCCCACCTCCTCCATCACCAGGCCCCGCCTCCTCCATCGCCGGACCCCACCTCCTCCATCGCTGCCACCGACGGGCCCAGCCACCTCCTCCGCAACTGCTGCTGGTTGTCACTGACTCAGCAGCAGCTGTGAGGAGGAACGGACCGCTGCACACATTACTGACAGGTTGTCAGTGATGTAAATAGCGGAGCGTTGCTCCTGACAGCCGCCAGTGACAGCCAGCAGCCTGAGATGCCATAGTGACCCAGGCGCTCCACACGGCATCAGGGGGATGTCCTGGCTAGGCCCCCCTGTTCCCCGGGCCCTATAGCGGCCGCCTGGGTCGCTATGGTGATTGTTCTGCCACTGGAGACAAGACCAGTCACCCTGCACAAGGAGAGAGAGCAGCGGTGACCGGTCTTTATTACAGGAAGCTCCAAGTCTCACACTGGATTACTGCACAGATCTGGAAGAAATACACAACGTTCACCAAGATGCAAGGAGAATACACATGACTCTTGCGTTTAGACAATGTGCGCTTATTCCACAGTTCAGCTTTAAGTGATCCTATTTAAAGAGAAATATGATAGCTTCCATTGCTGACATGGTTTTAAATGGGTCTGTTCTCCAGGGCTGCCATGCCTATCCTGGCTTTAGTACCCATTAAAAAAACAACTAATATTATAAAAAACTATAATGTCACTATCATTTTACATTGTGTCATATTTTGGTGTAATAATAAACATACAAAAGCAGGTTATGAAATTGTTTCTTGTTTGAATTTTCATGGCCATCATTATGTAGTAAGATTTCAGTTCGGAAACTGATGCATTGCCCCACAAACCACAAAAAAAAAAGCTCTTCAACATCCTCTTTCCTAGACCACAAAAAAACCCCTCCTTTACGAATAGGTTCCATGAAGTTGCTCAGCAATAGTGATACATTGTAAAACCTTTATGGAAGGCAAAAAAAACTTCAACTTAAAAATAAATAAAAGATGTCACTCAAAACTACATTATAATACATACTGTATATGTACGCAGGGCCGGATTTCCCACAAGGCCAACCGAGGCCCGGCCTTGGGGCAACAGGGAGTAGAGGGGCAGCAAGGGTGTGGAATTCCTATCTCTCAATGCCCGGGACGTGCAGTTCCGGGCGCCGGGCGGGTAGTTGTTTTCTACATATAGCCCTGCTTTGGGCAAGCAGAGCTAAATGTACAGCGGGGAAGCCGCCGCTTCTTTTGTACAAGTTAATTACACATTAATGGGTACTCCTCTAGGGAAGTCAGAAATGGAAAAAGATTTGGGGGTCATAGTAGACCTTAGCTTCTATAATAGCTTGCAATGCCAGGCTGCTGCAAACAGAGTTCTGCCTTCTATTAAAAAGGGAATTTACTGTAGAGACAAATCTATAATTATACTACTTTATAGATCGCTGGTTCAGCCTCATCTGGAGTATGCGGTCCAGTTTTGGTCACCAATACACAGAAAGAATGTCTTTGAGCTGGAACGAGTCCAGACAAGGGCAACTAAACTCATACACATGCAGAATCACATGCATACATCCAATGGTTTGAACTTGATGGACCTGTGTCTTTATTCAACCTCAAATATTATGTAACAAGTGATCTCGGCAAAGTGGCCGAAATCACTTGTATGCAGCCTACATACAGGGGACGCAATTAGGAACCTGACTCTGGGACAGCAGAGAGAGTAAATCCAACACGGTATGTACGTACATATTACTGGGGTTATTTCAGAAGTAGATGTTGTTCAGTTGGCAAAGTGAACGTTAGTAAATAAGGTATTAAATAAAGCCTATTTTCTCTTTGAAAACCTGATTATCTGCTGCCCAAAAAAATCTAGCAATAAAGTTACATAAAAAAAGTGTTTAAAAATGTAAATGATCTTAAATATAATATAATAAATATAAAATATATATTCATATATATAATAAATATAAATATAT